AAACACTGGCCATTTCTTTGATGAATATTGTTGGAATGGTTTTGAAAAGTTAAGAGCAGTCTATAAAATGAAACTCATATTTTCATGCCCTAAGAAAAGGCAATGAAAAAGTCAGGAAGAGATTCCTTGTATAAAATTAGGCATAGGATTGGGGAAAAATTATGGAAAGGAGTCTGCATAGATAAAGATGATCTTGCTGACTTCTCCACTCAACCCTTCACTCTCTTCAAATTCATTCCAAAAAGCAACTTAAAATTGCGTATCTCTGTTCAATGACTCTTGAATAACTAGGACTGGGTCAAGAAGGAACTAAAGCTTTTGACACGGAGTACAACAACCTATAATAGAACAACCCACATTGCAGTGCTTACAATTAACACAATACCCCATTTAAAGGGGCAAGGCTTAGACCTCTTCACACTCTTACAAATAGTCTTCTCAACTTTGAAAGGATAAGAAAAAAAGGCGGTGTTCTTCTCACAAGCACAGTACACACCATAAACAAGAACAAAAATTTATAGATGCAGGAAGGTGAAAATAAAGTTTAGAAACTAACAAATGCAGGCTTACCGCTTCTTTTACTAAAACTAGGTATAGATAACAGCTTTGAAGAGGTAAATTAGGATGGCTTTGTTTTACAAAAGTTTTTTTTAAAGAAAGTATAGGTGTAAAGTAAATTTCTTTAAAATTAGTATCACTTCCACAAAGCCTATCATTGGTAAATTAGCGAAGCAGTCCTGTAGACAGAAGATCTCCAAAACATTGAAGAAGAGTTATGCACATATATTATAACACACGCACGGGCACACACACACACAAACAGACACACACACACACTTCAATAGCTTGTTGAGTTTGGACATTTTAAGAGTTCATCAACAATACTTACAGGATTCTGGCTGTCTCTCAACCTTGATTCTTCCGTTTTATCCAACCCTAAAAACCTCTTAGAACTTCAGTATTTTACCTGCAAAACTGTTGTTTCCATATCTGCCATTTTCTACATTTCTGATCCCTCCCTTTATGTTTTGTGAACTTGGTATAATAAAGCTTGGCCATAATGCAACACTTTCTTGGAGACTTTCACTATCACCCACTAACACAATGTTTTTTGAATTCATGTAATTTATGGATGCTTTTTGAAGCAAACTTTTCTTCTGAATCCACAGTGTTGACAAGTTATATTTACTATGATGCAACTTGAAAATGTACAAACACGAAGTCAGAGATCAATCCTTTGTTTATAGCTATCTTAGAATTATAAAACCAAAGGAAATTTACAAATGAGACAAACACAATTATAACATCAGTATAGTTTGAATCATCAATATTAATTAAATGTTAGAAAGTGTAGTATTTGCTGACTCCAAAACACCATTTGTGACAGCGATATAGTACTGTGTAATCACATTGATTCTGTGAGTTCAGCCTAAACTACTGTGTACTGTGTGAAGATTCAGTTTATTTACCAGTGTCTTCCCTGTTTTTCTATACAGTACGTTACTGTGTCAGTGAGTCTTTACCCAGCATTATCTTACTATGCATTATTTCTGCATCAAATTTACTTTTTTCTGTTCTCAATAGTTTATCACAATTACAGCAGCAGTTTATAAGTGCCAACCTGAGAGTAAATGCAGATGCATGCAAGGCCCTTGAATCTCTGGTAGTACTCAGTAACGAAATGGTCATTCAAGACATATTTATTATTTTCTACAATAATAAAAATAAAACCACTGAATCACACAGACAAACAAGAAAGCAAGCACATGATAGAGTACTTGAATCCTAAGAGAAAGGTGCTGGGTGGCTGATTTCAGTCTGAGAAGTTTCTGACATACCCTTTTATAATAAATTTATATCAAATATTGCAAATTCTGCAAAGCAAGTATGGGAACTATTTTACTGAGTTTCTAAAGTTGAAATTTGGCAAAATGTACTTAATTAAAATCAAAGGTATCCATTAGGGGCTTTGAAATGTATAAATTAACACACATGTGAAAAGATAAACCATTATGGAAGGGGCACTTCCATTAGAGTGATCCAAAATTGATGTACTTCACAAAATAGATATTGCTGCTTTTTTTTCTTCCTGGAAGGATAAAATATAATATTTTAAATTTCTGTGCCATCTTTCCTCCAGGCAGTATAAAGTACTTGACAAACCTTATGTTAATGATGTTAACATACTTGTGAGACTAAATAGACGGTAGGCAACATGCTCCCTAGCTTATAAACAAACAAACAAGCTGACAGAGAGGAATAGAATTTTATTTCCAAGATATTTTGATTCATTTCCCTTTTTCCTCTTACCTAGAATAATATAAAAATTGGTTTTCTTTTACTTAACTCCTTTATTCATTTATTCATTCATCCATCCAAGGAATGTTTTTTAAGAGCAATGCTTCATGCATTGTACTAGGTGTTATGAAGCAAATACAAGATATAGTACCTGAAAGAAAGGAGCTGAAGATATTGACCTGGTGATCAAAGGGTTATACGTTTTGGATAGATGTGAAAGAAGTTGATCTAAGCAAGAGAAATAGTGCCTAACTGGCTAGTAAATACTAGATAAGAATGCGAGATAGTGAGTAGACTGTATAGTTTAATAGACCCTTATTTAATCAGTACTTTCAGTACATCACGGATCATGCTCAAGGCTTTATTTAATTATCTGATTTAAACCTTACACTATAATTCCATGTTAAAAGTACAAAACTGCAGGCTCAGCAGGATTAAGCAATCTGATCTGGGTTACAAAGGCAGAAAACGGAAGAAAGAAGATTTATATCAGCTATTTGACTCCAAAGCTCCTGCTGCCACTATGTCATAACATTATGTTATATGGTTTCCCAACAGGGGGAAGTGACAGCTGAAAGTTGAATTGATGCTGGATTACAGAAGTCTTTGATACCACTGGTTTAGGCTTTACATTGCAGGCACTAGAAAAACAACTGATGTTTTTTGGAGTACAGGAGTAATGGGGACCTAGGGGGTGGGGGAAAGCACTTGCATACACATACACACGAACCCAGTGCTTTAGAAAGAGGAATTTGGCAAATGAGCCAGAAGGGGAGACTAGGTATTATAGAGGGAGTACAAAAATGGATTCCCTCAAATATCTAGACACAGAGGCTAACACTGCCATATTTACTCAGCCCGATCCCAAGCCATTTTCTGCTGTCTTCTCTGTCCCCATCCAAACCAGTCTACTTTTCACTATCCTGGCAGGGGCTAAGCTCCCTTCCATTGAAAAATATTTGTACATGTCTTTCCAATTGGCAGAAATGACTTTTCCACTTTTCCTCCATTCAATACCTTAATGATTTCTCATTTTTTAGAACCTCAGGTTTTGGTATAAATGTGACTACTTTCCTGGTGTTCCTCATTATGTCAATGTCCTGTTAGAAGCTCTCCCAGCACCATGTCCTTCTCCCCTTGGTAATTTTCATCACAGTTAGAATTATCCATTTACTCAGGTGGTTATTTGATTTACAGCTGCTTGCCCCACTAGAATATGCCTCACTGGAAATATGTTCTGTGAGTGTAGGAGTCATGTTTGTTCTTGGTTATCATTGAATTCCCTAAGCCTATCACATTGCCTGCCACAGAGCACTCGACGTATGTTGAATGAATGAGTGGATGAATAGACCCATATCTTGGACCAGAATGGTAGCTGTGGAGATGAAGGGAAAGGTATGATGCAAGACTTGACAAAAGAACCTAGTAGCTATTTGGGGTTGGGGAGGGGAGAAGCAGAGGCAGGGAATGCCAAGGTTATGGCGGTTGTCAGTAATGTCTCTGTGACTTCTCAAGCTTGGCTAATAGAACAATCAAGAGAATGCCATGGTACACTATCTACTCACTATGTATTAAGCTTTTCCTGCACTGCTGTGAAGAAATACCTGAGACTGGATAATTTGTTTAAAAAAGAGGGTTTGATTGGTTCACAGTTCTCTAGGCTGTACAGGAAGCATAGCACTGGCATCTGCTTCTGGCGAGGCCTCTGGAAGTTTATAATCATGGTGGGTAGTGAAGTGGGAGCAGGCATGTCACATGGCAAGAAGAAGAGTGAGAGAGGGTGGTAGGGAAGGTGACATATTCTACAACCACCATATCTTGAGAAGTCACTCCCTATTGCAAGAAAAGCACCAAATCATGAGAGATCTGCCCCCATGACCCAAACACCTCCCAGCAGGCCCCACCACCAGCATTGGGGATTACAATTCAACATGAGATTTTGGGTGGGAACAAACATCCAAACTATCATCCCAGGTGAGTAGCCACCTGATTTTTGGTGAAAGAGGCAAAGAATCAGAAGCAGAAATGGGTGAACAATTCAACCCAGAGCTTAATAAAGCCCTTCATCAGATAGCATGTCACAAGATCAGCAGTGAAGAGAAGTTAAGACCCTGTCTGGAAGTGTGCTTCATGTGGACTATTGAATTTCCTGTGTCCTGAAATATCTGGCCGACACTTAAGCCATCTTCTGTGGTTTTCTTTATATTTAAGTAAAGCCTGATTTCTCTTCCTTATCTAGGAAAGATTTCATAATGTCAATTGCGCCAGGTGGGAAAAAATTTGTTATGGTGGAAAGAGCAATCCAATGATATCCTGCAAGTCTCCATCAAATATTACCTTACCTAATCACCATGCCACTGTCCTGGTCCTCACTCAGGTCCTTTAGTGCATATTATGTACATATTTGTCATAAGTGCATTATTCCCCCTTTTTGTTCAAGTGTCTGTTTCTTCTCTAGACTTTGAGCCCTTCAAGAGAAGTGACTTTGTTGAATTCATGTAGCTTGGGATTTAGAGAAGAGGCTCTGGAGAAAAACTGCCTTGATTCAAATCCCAGCAATCCCATGTACTAACCGTGTGAGCTTGGACAAGTTATTTAATCTCTATCCGCATTTTAGTTTCCTTATTTGGCAAATGAGGATGATAGTAGTACCTACCTAATTGTGAGGATTCTCATTCATTCATTCATTCATTTATTCATTCATTCATTTATTCATCCATAAGTCATTCCACAGTTATTTATTAAGTTACTATCATATTATTGGCCTTGTTCTAGATGCTAGAAATACAACCATAACCAGAACAGAGATAGTTTCTCTTCTTTTGGAGCTTATATTGCATAGGAGCATAAAAGAATTACAACTAAACAAAAAAATATGATAATTTCAGACAATAAGAAGTATGTCAGAGGTGGTACGTACTGGCTCACAACAGTGAACTGTGTGTATCTCTTCTCAACTTCTTATTCAGTGGCATCATGTTGATAGCTTGAACTATTGTATTAGCCATAGTAGAGGTATTTACATCATGAAAATTGGCAAATGCTAGAAACCAGCACACTCCCTCTCCCCACCACCCCACCAGATTCAGGTGTTAAGTATTTAACAGCATATCACTGTGTAAGATGACACAAAAGCAGGTTTGTTAAGAGATAGTGATATGATAGAGATAGTCACTACCTCTTAATGGGTAAGAATGAGGTTACTCACTTTCAAGAAATCACTGTAAAAGATTTTGTACTAAGGCCTGAAATATAAGTAGCCAGAAGTGATAAAGGGAAGAAGAATCTAGTCAGCAGAGACAGCTGAGTCAAAGGTCCAAAGGGGCAATAAGCCTGGTATATATTCCAAAAATAGTAACAATGAAAGCCACTGAGTCTGAAGCATAAGAAATGAGGGAAGGGGGAATGAAGTGAGGCAAGGTCAGAAAGGTAGGTCACATGGAGCCTTGGAGCCAAGGCACCTGTATTATTCCAAGTGCAACTTGCACTTGGAATAGCACTTTCAGCAGGAGAGAGACTACTTGAAGGACTTAGTGTGTACCTAGCACCTAAGAAGTGCTCAATGCCTGTTAGGTATTTCTGCTAATACTTACCTCATTGTCCCTGGCAGCTCATATACTGTTGAATAGGAGATATGCAGTTAAGATTTGTTGAATGATAAAATGAACATATGGTCACAAAGGAAACCCTTTCCCTCTCTGAGCCTTAGTCACCTCATTAGAAAAATGAATTGTTTGCAAACAAGTTCTCCCAGGTTTCTTATATTCTCCATGCTTTTCCATTGTATTACCATGGAATGCAGACTGGTTTTGTTTATCCCAACCTGGCAGAGGTTACCACAGTCCTAACAGCTAATATTCTCAAACAAACATAAAATACCACATTGTAGTTGTCTCATTTCAAAACATGACATTCCTGTCTTGTACAGTGGCATAAAACATAACAGGCTTCCTATTTCCATTCTCATCTAAAGGGAAGAGGGAGAGGGAAAAAGGAGAGAGAGAAAAATATGCACTCCCTAACGAGGCCATAAATATTGATGTCTTCCTTAGGCCGCCCTAGAGCTCTATCATTTTGGCAACTAGCTGATTAATAATACATTAAACACTTTAGATTTGCTTACTTTGGGATCTGTGACTTTAAGTGCATCTGCTGTGAGGGATCTGGCTGAGATGGGAAACAACAGATTGTGTAGACTTCCAGCATAAAAATACAATGAGAGGGGACACAAATTGGGCACGACAATCAATAATTCCATTGAGTAACATCTCAACCACTGTGGACAAGGTTTGTGTTGTCTTTCCAGATGTTAATTTCTTTTCCTAAGATCTCACCTACATGTGAACCCGAGAGAGGACCATGCTAACATATGCCATATGTTAGTGTTCTGAGTAAATAATGGATGAGGAAGGATGTCTTCCCATACGTATAGCACAGAATTTCATCCAAATACCAATTACCCACCACAGTAATTTGGGGCAACATGGGAGAAAACTGGGGTGCCTGTCCATGACTGCTGAGATAGTCCAACTTGCCCCCAAACCATATCCTTTGTAATGAAGGCAGGTGACTGGACCAAAAGATCCACTGATGCCCCTTAGATTACACTGGAGAAGTGACCCCTTGGAGCAGACGTGAACAACTGGAAATACTTACTTAAATGCTGGTCCTTGTAGACAAGTGAGAGCATTACCAGGTCCAGACTCCAAAAGGCAGCTTGGCACATTAGAAAGTATATTGGGGTAGTCATGACTCTTGGGGCCCCAGTCTCTATCACTGAGACTCTGCATGACCCTGGCCTTGTCCCTTTCCTGGCCCTCAGTTTCTCACCTTTTCAGTGAAGGGCATGTTTATAAGAGCAGTGTATCTCAACACAGTCACTGGTGGAGCTTTTTAAAAAACGCAGATTCCCATACCCTATGTCATGTCATGTTTTGGGTATTCCCCAAAGCAAAGTTTCAACTTCTAGTACCTCAGAACGTTGCAGATATAAACACTAGGATGTGGTCAAACTGGAGTAGGGTGGACCTTGATACAATATGATTGGTGTCCTTACAAGAAGAAAAGACATGCAGATACATGAGGGGAAAGAGCCATGTGGTGACAGAGGTGGGGAAGAAAGTGCAGCAGTTCTTTGGCAGTTTCAAGTCAAGGATTGCCAAGGACTGACGGCAACCACCGGAAGCTAGGAAGAGTCAAGGAAGGATTCTCACTTACAGGTTTTAGAGAGAGCATAGCCCTACCAAGACTTTTCTTTCAGACTTCTATCCTTCAGAACTACAAGACCATGAACTTATATTGTTTTAAGCCAACCTGTTTGTGGAATTTTGTCACAGAAGTGCTAGGAAACTAATAAACTCCACTTCTAAAAGTCAGGGGACACAGGTGCAGAGGCTCCCACCTGCAATCGCAGCACTTTGGAGGCTGAGGCAGGCAGCTCACTTGAACCCAGGAGTTCAAAACCAGTCTGGGCAACATGACGAAACCCCATCTGTAGCAAAAAAAAACCCCCCAAAAACAAAAAAAAAAACTACAATTAGCTGAATGTGGTGGCTCATGCCTGTAATCCCAGCATTTTTGGAGGCTGAGGTGGAAGGCTTGCTTGAGGTCAGGAGTTTGAGACCAGTCTGGGCAACATGGCAAAACCCCATCTCTACCAAAATTACAAAAATTAGCTGGGTGTGGTGGCACACCTCCTGTGGTCCTGGCTACTTAGGAGGCTGAGGTGGATGATCGCTGTGCCCAGGAATTCAAGACTATAGTGAACTGTGATCATGCCATTGAACTCTAGTCTGGGTGATAGAGTAAAGTCTTATTTCTAACAAAAAAATAAAATAAAAAATATAAGTCGGGGAAGGGATGGAAAACTCATAATTGTTAAAAAATTTTCCCTAGAAAATTCTGCTGTACACTTTGGTTTATGAACACTGAATTAAGTGCTCTCCCAACTCCAGAATTCTTTGATTCATATGGAAATCTGACTTTAGCTTATGGCACCATAGATTCATCATGGAAATAATGAACTTAAGAAATATATGCTCTGGTGATAGAAAGAGGAGCCGTCCCTATATTCTGTGGCAGAACGATGGAATCATGCAGTCAGTGAAAAAGAAGAAGGGTCTTCAAGGTGGTGCTGAGACATCTATCCTCTTTTAGGCTCACTCCACATTTTCCAAACTAAATTAATTAAAAGGAAAAATTGATGGGAGCAACTGATGAATCAAAGGTCTCCTTGAAGTACCAATAAAAGCTATGAATCTTCTCCCTAGAAATAGCCAACAATTTCACAGGGCTCAAGACACTCTTATCTCTATTTGCTGATTTTCTAAGGATCCAAGAACATTACCCCAAAACCCTTGAATGCTATAATTTGCCAAAGTCCCAGCATGGTCCAAAGGTGCTAATATAAAACCTTCAGAAATACAATGATAGCCACTCCTCTCTGATCCTAACTTCTCCTGCTGTAAAAAGATAGGGTTCATTCATCCCTCCAACAAGTACTCATTGGACAATAAATATATCCTGTGCTATGGCACCTTCATTCTTCCATGCTGGAGATTCAGAATACAATAGGAAAGACAGGATCTCAGGCAAGGCATGGTGGCTCACACCTGTGATCCCAGCACTTTGGGAGGTTGAGGCAGGCAGATCACATGAGACCAGGAGTTTGAGACCAGTCTGGCCAACAAGGTGAAACCTCGTCTCCACCAAAAATAAAAAATTAGCTGGGTGTGGTGGCATGCACCTGTAGTCTCAGCTACTACAGAGGCTGAGGCAGGAGAATCACTCTAACCTCAGAGGTGGGGCTGGCAGTGAGCCGAGATCACTGCCTGCTGCTGAACCGAGATCACTCCAGGCATTCCAGCCTGGGCAACAGAGCAAGACTTTGAAAAAAAAAAAAAAAAAAAAAAGAAGAAGAAAGAATCTCTCCTCTCATGGCATGGCACTAAGAGATAAACAAATCGACACATGCTAAGAAGACATTACCAAAAGCAATGTAATGGAGATATATGGAGGGGTAGAGGAGTGGGGTCAAAGAGGAAGGTCAGGGAAGTACTTGCTGAAGAGATGGCTGAGCTGGGCTGAGACTCGATGTGAAGGAGGCATTCAGGAAAGATCTTAGGAAAGAGTGATGTAGGCCTGAAGAGCTTTAGGGCTTTAGGTACATATTTTAATAGTGGCCCCTCAGGTAGGAGAAAACTTGGCCTATTTGGGCACAGAATAAAGACCCGTGTGGCTCAAGCACTGTGAGCAAGGGGAGCTGCATGGGAAGGGAGGTTGGAGAGATCAGCAAAGGTCAGCTCAGGCTACTATCCAGCTTATGTTAGGCATCTGGATTCTATTCATGACAGGAAGCCATGATAGAATGTTTAAACAGTAGGCTGAGGTGATCTGATTTACATTTTAAGAGAAGAATAAATGTTTAAGGTCCATCCGATGTGAACATTCTAGAAGGAAATAGCCTTACTGTCCTTTCACCATTGCTGTCAATATAATGAAATACAATACTGTGTTACTGTGACAAGTGATGATATCTCACAGATGTGCAGGGTGGGGAAAAATGGAAGAGTAGGAAGCTGTCTGCATGCCAAACTTCCAACTGAGCTGCTCCCTGAGCCCCCGGGCTTCCTGTGAAATGCATAAGCCACCTTTGTTATTTCTAAAGGGTAATCTGTTGAAACATCTTTAGGAAAAAGCTGTCATAGGATGTCTTTCCAAACTCATACCCCATCTCGGCTGCTGCCCTATTAGAATGTTGACACATGCAACATCAAAATCAGAGACATCCCACCAAGCAGCACTGCCAAGGTACCAGGATGCCTCTCTGAATACAGATAACAGCAGAAACCTGTGCAGCAGAGGGTGGCTCTCACCCCCTTCATGCTCCCCTTCCTGAATCCAAATTTCAGCTTCTAATGAGATGTTGCAGCCTGAACTAGCTTCTCTGCAGCTGACCCCCCAGGAACTGGCACCAGCGTATAATATTAATGAGATGAGCATCCAGCATCTGAGTAGAATGTTACAAAATACAAAGTATCTTCTCATCCTTTATCCCAGAGGAACCTCATGTCCATTTTAGGACATGTGCTGGATGGGTATTTTAAATCATTTCACCAAGAGAGAAGCTGAGCTTTAAGGCAGACACTTGACCAAAGACTACAAGGCTCACACTTGGGCATGACCTTCCCAGCTTAGTACTCATGTTCATCCAACTAAACTTGACTGTCTCTGAACTACATCACTTTTTAGGCTCAAACTGGACAAGATAATGTGTAGAGCTTCCAAATTTTACTGAAGGTAAATGAACTTGAAGATTTACCTTGTCCAAATCCCTGAAGGGAGAGCAAGAGAGACTTAGGGCATAGGCATGTCAGGTTCAAGGTCAGACCCAAGGTCACAGAGACTTCCCTTCTGTTACAAAGAAAAAATTATTAATTAACTGAAGAGTTCTCTAACTACTATGATTCCCTCTTTGGTAAGATTGTCCTCAGAGGGGACGACCTTGACTTCTATTGCATTGTCTCCATCCACCTTAATTGCCAGCTACATATGAGGTTGAAAGGCATACGGCAGGAACATCCATAGATGCTTGAGCAGGTGGCAGAAAAGTCACTGCCCAAGTGGGCTCCTACTTGTGGTCCTCCATTTCCCTGTATGTGACATGAGGGAAGAGGGCTAGGCTACTCGAATAAAATATTTTCTAAAGTATAAAAATGTTCCAGTTCCTAATTATTTAATCTGGGGCTCAGGATTCTGTTTTTTTTTTTTTCCCCCAAGGCCTCCCAGGAATTGAGGGGTTTTGATACAGAGTGCTAGCACGGGACTAGGGAGGGCTGTGACCTGGTTTCACCCCCTCTATCACTCACAGTGTGACTTTGAAGCAAACCACTTAAGCACTTCATAGCCATTTCTCCAATTAGAATACTCCTACTCTACCCCTGTGCGTGAGTGTGAGCCAAAGTAAAACAATAGATGAGAAAAACATGCTCTGAGGAATGTAGCAAAGGACTATATATACATACCCATGAGTATATATCTATATGCATTACTAACCATGTGTCATTCATATTATCATCACTGTCAGTATTATTTTTCACAACTTCTTCATAAGTAGCAGGGGACTTATGACTAATGAGGATAAATTCCTATCTACTTAGGTAAGAGAGTGAGGAAGTGCTCAGTTCTAACCAAAGACTTGCTGACTTGACTC